ATTTCAGCAAACCAGGTTGTGTCATCTGCATATCGAAGGGTGTTAGTGAGTTTTCCTCCAATCCTGATGCCACATTCTTCTTCATATAGTCCATCTTCCTGGATTATTTGCTCAGCATACAGATTAAATAAGTATGGTGAAAGATACAATCCTGATACATACCTTTTCTGATTTTAAACCACACAGTATCCTATGCAGTATCCACCACTCATCTGTCAGTTTGTCATACTGTGGTGGCTTGCAAGTTGCTGTGATGTTGGAAGCTATGCCACCAGTATTTCAAATACCAGCAGGGTTACCCATGGTGGACAGGTTTTAGTGGAGCTTCCAGACTAAGACAGACTAGGAAGAAGGACCTGGTAGTCTACTTCTAAAAAAAAAAACAATAATTGGCCATTTCAGGTTACCAACCCATTATTACTGACTTGTAATATGTTTCCCACTGGCTTGGTATTTTTTGAACTGCAAAACCAGTAACTATTTGTCAGTCATGACCAAGTCTTTACCTTGTTAAAATAACCCTGAAGACACTTCTGACAAATGAGGTCAGTATCTCGGATCTGAACACTGAGCCACCGTTCTAGCTCTAGCTCTAGAAGTCTCTGAAGGTTCATGTTCCCAGACTAGACAGACATATCCAGGCATGGCCAAACATGCAGTATGGCCCCTTGCCCTGGTATGCTGGTGATACAGGGCAATAAAAAATATATATGACCTCAATACCTATAAAAATGAATCAAAAGGCTTTAGGTGCTGTATGAGAGTATACATTATGCTGTTGTAAACAGACTCCTCAAAATAGAGTGCCTTGAACAACATAGAAGTTTATTTCTCTCATATATAATAGTCCTCTATCTGGTGAGGAACTGGGCTCAACAATGGGTCTGATAATTATCTTCTGTGGCTAATGTTTGGCTGTGAAAATCCTGGTGGTACTTTACCCATGATGAGTCCCAATAGTTGTTGCCAGAGGATAAATTTTAGAATTATTTTCCAGAAGGAAAGTGGTAAGGCCAGAGCCATTCCATCATAGAAATATCTAAATTAAGGATCTAAGTTATAGAACAATTACAAGTGGTATAGGAGACAAGAAAAGCTGAATGGGAGAATGTCATTGTTTGAATTATGTCCCCCCAAAGATGTATGTATCAATTTGGCTGGGCCATGATTCCCAGAATTGTGTGGCTGGCTTACATTTTGTGATTGTAATTTTATGTTTAAGAGGATTAGGGTGGGATTGTAACACCACCCTTACCCAGGTCACATTCCTGATCCAATGTAAAGGGAGTTTCCCTAGGGTGTGGCCTGCACCACCTTTTACCTTACAAGAGATAAAAGGAAAGGGAGCAAGGAGAGAGTTGGGAATCTCATATCACCAAAAAGCAGTACCGTAGCAGAGCACGTCCTTTGGACCTGAGGTTCCTGCGCAGAGAAGCTCCCAGACCAAGGAAAGACTGATGCATCACAAAGACCTTTCTCCAGAGCCGACAGAGAGAGGAAAACTTCCCGTGGCGCTAATGGCTTGAATTTGGACTTGTAGCCTATTGGACTGTAAGAGAATAAATTTCTCTTTGTTAAAAGCCATCCGCTTGGGGTATTTCTGTTATAGCAGCACTAGATGACTAAAACAGAGGATAAAAGGAAGGGTCACCCATGAGAACAGACCTGGGATAGCTCCAGAGACTGAGAACTTCTTTTACACATTTCCCATGTGTTTGCGTGGTAATTCCAAGACATTTAAAGAGGCCCGGACATCTTTCCATTCTGTACTCTTTAGAAGGAAGTCACTATGCTCAGCTTCCACTTAATGGATTGGGAATTAGACTCCACATCTTTGTGGCAGGTGGGGGGTGGGAAAGAAGTATCTACATAAATTGTTTGGAATTCTTCTTCTGAATGGGAGATTTGTCTACTCATCATCATTTATTTATTAATTCAATCACTTATTTATAACAATTTGGACGTATGGATATTTATTTTATACTTTTGGTTATAATCTAATACTATTTTATTTATCAGTTTCAACCTGGTCTAGCAGTGAAAATTGCGGTAAAAAGGGGTGCTGGGGGAACCTGCCAGAACATGAGCGTGTCTGCTACAGGAAGTTTGCAACAAAAGCATTCTTGGAGGAAGTATTCAAATAAGAAAAAGGAAAAGAGATCAAGAAGATGCTGCAAAAGATAATAGAATTAAGGATGATCAAAAACCATGGAAAATGTATTGTTGTCTAACAAACTCACACACTATTTAAATATTTATATTTAAAAATATTTAAAACATAGGTGGTGAAAGTTCAAAGAGACAGGACAGCCTATGGAATATAATCTATTGCAAGGGAGATGGTGGAGGATCTGGCTGTGCAGGGCTGGGATGCAGGCAGTGGGACAAAGTTGTTGGCATCTGTCATGGTTTGAATTACGTCCCCCCAAAAATGTGTGTATCAGTTTGGCTAGGCCATGATTCCTGAGACTGTTGATTTTCCTGTATGTTGTAAACCTGCCTCTATGATGTTAATGAGGGAGGATGGGTAGCAGTTGTGTTAGTAAGGCAGGACCTGATCTACAAGACTGGACTGTGTCCTGAGGCAATCTCTTGAGATATAAAAGACAGAAGTGAGCAGTGAGACGGGGGGACCTCATACCATCAAGAAAGCAGCGCCGGGAGCAGAGCGCGTCCTTTGGACAGGGGTCCCTGCGCTGAGAAGCTCCTAGTCCAGGGGAACACCAAAGAGAAGAAGGCTGACAGAGAGGAAAAGCCTTCCCCTGGAGCTGACGCCCTGAAATTGGACTTTTAGCCTACCTTGACTGTGAGGAAATAAACTTTTCTTCATTAAAACCATCCACTTGTGGTATTTCTGTTATAGCAGTACTAGATGACTAAGACAGCATCCTACCCTATCATCATGAGTGAGAGCTGTGCTATCCTATCTTTGCCTTCCTAGATCCCTGATGGCACGAGCCGTCTGAATGTGGCGCTTAATCCATGCCTTCCAGGATCCCTGACTCTTCTAGAGATTCTATAGTGGCACATTCTTTGATCAAATACTTTGCTAGTAAAACTGGGTGAAGTTTACTGTTATCTGATTGTTGGCAACCGAAAAACTGAGTGAAACAATCAGCATTAAAACTTAAATGATGGATACTTTTCTTCCGTAATATGATGATCTTCAGTTAGATCTTAGTTGTAGAAGTGATATCAAATAGCTTTCAGGTGATTATTCAAGCTTCTGTTCTATGTACTGATTTCTTTGGCTCACCATGAGCTAATGGCTCACCATGAGCTAAATCTATCTTTCGTTGTTGTTTTCTTTTTTTCTAGTATGACTATGTCCTTCTGATGCATTGGCCTTATTTGAGAAATTCTTCACTGATAAGAGCAGCCACGCAATTTCTCTTTGACCTCATAAAACTACCTAATCAGTAAGTCCTTTACTAACTTTTGTCACACTGTCATTTAAATGACTAGTTCTAAACTATTACAACTTGTTTCAAATTCAGACTCTTTTTTAAAAAACATGAGGAAATATTTGTTTAATGCTTAATTCTGAGGATTATTCTCAGAGACTCTTTTTCATTAAACGCAGGGTGAATTGTTGGAATGTGTTACAAAGAAGAACACCTAGGGATTTCTAACGTAGGTTGCTCATTGATATTTTGAGAATTACTGATTTAGGAACACATAGCAATTATAGAGCAAGCTTTTTTTTTATTTTTTATTTTAATGTGCTCTGGAATCATTTTAATTAAAGTTAATTATTCTTTATCCAGAATAATATGGCACAGGTGTTGATCAGAAATTCTCAGACTTACATGGGCATCTTAGAATTACCTGATGATTTTTTAAAAATTCAAGTTAAGGTTGTAACAAATAGCATGATTTAGGTCTGAGCTGAGTTCCAGGACTGGATTGTTAAAATTACCCCAACCTTTAATCTTATGAAAAGTATGGGAAGGACACTACTATTTTTGTAAAGTTCCTGTTCATTTGTCAAGGAGGTAGAAATTGGTATTAGAGTAGATTTTGTCTATTCTCTGAGCTTCTTGCATAATGTTCCTCATCAAGGGGCTGCTCATAAAAGCTGTTTCTAAGATAATGATTATCAACCAGAATATTGTTCATGGACTTTTAGCTTTATCTATCTTAAAAAAAAAGTATGTGTATATGTGTATGTTTATGTGTATGTATAACCCCTTGCCGTCGAGTCAATTCTGACTCACGGAGACCTTATAGGACAAAGTAGAACTGCCCCATAGGGTTTCCAAGGAGTGGCTAGTGGATTCGAACTGTGGAACTTTTGGTTAGCAGCCAAGCTCTTAAGCACTGCGCTACCAGGGCTCCATATGTATATGTATATGCATATGTATGTGTGTGTATGTATCTTGGCACTGACTGTGCTTCAACTTTAGAAAGATTTTACAAGGCAAATATGTGGTATATTTTCATTCCAATGACATATATATATATCCTTAACAAACAACATATTATGTACTATTCATAATTAGAATTTGGAATTCCATGAAAGGTAAATAGTTGTGCTGCTTCTGGGATAGCAGCTGGTATTTTTCTTGAGGGAAAAACAATAACCCTGCAATGTGTGACTAATCTCTTTTCAGCAAAGAGGTATGACTATTGGTGATAAACAAACTCATCGTTCTTTGCCTGACACAGGCAAAGGAATTCATTTCAATTAGTAAAACTATTTCTATGAGCCCGATGTCAGGAGAAAGGGCTTAGCATCCATCTTAGAAACTAACCTTCTTGTCTCACATTTTCAGGGAACTATTTTTTGTGGAGGAGAGGGTTGAGTATGACATAACCAAATCAATGAAATGATAATATTTTAGGATTTAACTCTATTATAATTATATAAAATCCAGTCATTGTGAATTATAGAAACTAACCTTGAGATATGACTTATATTGACAAGCACGTGTGTAATTTATATCCACTCCGCTAAAATTAGATTAATAAATCCTGTCCAATAGTTGTAGATTAATTTCCCTCCCCCCCCCCCGCCCCCACACAGTATGCCTGCAGTTCTAGGATATAAGCTAATTAATAGATGGAATCCTTAGAAGGTAGTCTCTTCTCCTTTGTGAAACATTTTTTTTCTAGAAAAAAATGCTAGAAGAGTCCTAATTATTTATTCAGTATTAAAAAAAAAAAAAACAAATCCACTCGCTGTCGAGTAGATTCCAACTCATAGTGTGAGCTCTTAACCACTGCGCCATATAAAAACTAGGAAATAAAGACAGCAACACAAATGCCTTATTACAAACTGTGTATCAATCAGCTAAAGCCATTATTCACTACTTATTCAAATCTCAGCAGCCCTTTCAGAAACAACCTGCCCCTTTTCACTACAATGTTTTAGACTAGCTCATAAATCCCCCTGTTCTGTCTGCTAGGGGCTTTTGTGTGTGCTTCAAACCCTTCTCTCATTAGAGTATGTCAAAATCCTTTCCATCAGCTTAGTGACTCACAGAGGTCTTTATTCATCTCCTGCTGCTGGATCTAGCCACTTACCTAGTGCTTCTCAAGAGAAGCCCTGTATATTAAGCGATGCATAGGTTTTTCCAGTCTGCAGCTTGCCTCCCAAACTGCTCCTTCAGTTTTAGCAGGCATTTTGTTACCACTTAGGAATGGAAAATACCACACATTGTGTACGGTCATGTACAAGTTACCCATGACTGGTTTCTTCTACTTGTTGTTTTAAGGCACTGGAGTGAGTGGTTCTTTATTATACCACTTTAGTGTGGAGATAGATAACTTATACGAGGCTGAGCTAATGATGGCTAATTTTTATTGAGTCCTTACTATGTGCCAGACACTATTATGAACTCTTTACGTTTATTAGCCATGGAACCATCAAAAGAAGACCAGGCTTTTAGCAATATTATGAGTATCCTCATTCTTCAGAGGATGGAGTAAGGCATGTCAGCAGCTTTTGCCTTTCCACCACATGGGGAGAGCTTCTTTCAGAATGGAGACTTCCCAGAGGAAATAGAACCAAGGTATGTAGAAAGACAGATTCCTGACAATGTCATTTAAATACTTGGATATGGTCATGGCTGAAGCCATATCTGCCCCTGGACTGTTCAGTTATGTAAGCTAGTGATTTTTTTCTTCCTCCTTTTTGTTTTTCTTCTTTTGAAGAAAGTCAAAATCAATTTGAGTTGAAGTTCTGTTACTGGTAAACAACAAATCTGATACCCAGACTCCATCCACAATGATCTGCAACGATCATGATCTAATTGGTCAGTTAGGTCCACGCATTAGTATATTAAGATGTGTTCCTCTGATGAGTCTAATGCACAGTCAAGGTTCAAAGTTGAGTCCTTAGAGAATATATCTTATGTAGATGAAATTTGGATAAAATATGAATAAGCAAGGAAAACAGAAAAGCAGACTACAGCCAATAAAGATTAGTCAGTAAACAAGTATTTATTGGCTATTTACCATGTGCCAATTGTTTTGGAAGCACTAGATTTACTCTAGCGGAAATTACCTATATATAGGTCTTTCCCTCACGGAAACAGTAGGCCCAATGGAAGAAACAGTAAACGGAGAAACAGAAAGAGTTACAAATAATAATTTAAATAATACAAATATGCAAAATGTTATAAAGGAGAAGTATAAGCTGTCATCAGGACAAGTAGTAGAAGGAAGGCCTGTGCTCGTGCAAAACAGCTGTAACTAGGAGGAAAAGAGACATTTGTAAATATAGATAAGATGGACTACTTCAAAGGTAAAAGTCAGCCTAAATCTCTATTTTAGAACTAATCTCTCCCTTAGATTTTTGTACATCCTTTCTTCTTAGTCAGCCTGTCTTAAATTGAGTTGATTTATCAGGAGTCATTTCTCCTAAAAGTTCTACGAACCTGTGAGTGATGGACAATTAACAACAAATGCAATGATGTCACAGAGCAGGAATCTGGGAAGCCTGGCAATGTTAGCATCCTTGCCAATCCAAACTGACTCTAGAACTCCAGAGATGGAAAGTGTTAGTGTAGCATAATGTCTATCACATGAGTCGGTGTGGGCATACAGTTAATTTCATCGAGAATAAAGTCAATTAAAAGTTACAGTCTTTAAATCAGAGAAATAAATTTAATTCATAACCTGCCATTTTTGGTCTGGCTTATTTGACCAGTGGAGAATCCTAATATAAATTGATTGGCAGAGAATCATCAAAAATAACTGGATTTAGAGTTCTGGAGTAACCTGTATTTTTTCTCTTCTACCTGTTTTGTAGAGATGTTGTAAGAACCTATTGGATTACTCTTTATACCCAATTATATCTAGAAAGTTTTTTTTTAATTTTATTTATTTGGTTCTGGTTGTTGAGAATATACACAGCAAAACATACACCAGTTCAACAGTTACTATAAAGATTTTTGAGTCCTTTAAAATGAATTCCATTTCTACCTGATTTTCTATTATTAGTGTTTTATTATAGAGATTAGTTTGTAACTTGTATATAAAATGTGACATTAATTTATTATTTTATCGTTAACCTTAATAAATAATATTTTTTATCATACTTAGTGATCACTAAAGATATAGAATATATTTTACTAGCTAATCTAAAATCTAAATAACTTTTGTGATAATAAAAATTATTTTCCTTTTTGGACTTGTGTTTGTTAGGTGCCATCGAGTCAGTTCCAACTCATAGCAACCCAATGTACAACAGAATAAAACACTGCCTGGTCCTGCTCCATCCTCACAATTTTTGTTAGGCTTGAGCCCATTGTTGCAGCCACTGTGTCAATCTATGTTGTTGAGGGTCTTCTTCTTTTTCACTGACACTTTACTTTACAAAGCATGGTGTCCTTCTCCAGGGAATCGGTCCTCCTGATAAAATGGCCAAAGTATGTGAGACAAAGTCTTGCCATCCTTGCTTCTAACAAACATTCTGGCTATACTTCTTCCAAGACAGGTTTGTTCATTCTTCTGGCAGTCCGTGGTATAATCAATATTTTTCGCCAACACCATGATTCAAATGCATCAATTCTTCTTCAGTCTTCCTTATTTATTGTCCAGCTTTCACACTCATATGAGGAGACTGAAAATACATGGCTTGGGTCAAGCGCGCCTTAGACGTCAAAGTGACATCCTTGCTTTTTAACACTTCAGAGAGGTCTTTTGCAGCAGATTTGCCCGGTGCAATGCATCATTTGATTTCTTGACGGCTGCTTCCATGGATGTTAATTGTGGATCCAAGTAAATCAAAATCTTTGAAAATTTCAATATTTTCACTATTTATCATGATGTTGCTTATTGGTCCAGTTGTGAGGATTTTTGTTTTCTTTATGTTGAGGTGTAATCCATACTGAAGGCTGTGGTCTTCGATCTTCATCAGTAGGTGCCTCAAGTCCTCTTCACTTTCAGCAAGCAAGGTTGTGTTATCTGCGTAACACAAGTTGTTAATGAGTCTTCCTCCAATCCTGATGCCCCATACTTCTTCATATAGTCCTGCTTTTCAGATTATTTTCCCAGCAAAGAGACTGAATAAGTACAGTGGAAGGATAAAACCCTGACGCATGCCTTTCTTGACTTTAAACCACGGAGTATCCCATTGTTTTATTTAAACAACTGCCTCGTGGTCTATGTACAGGTTTCTCATGAGCACAGCTAAGTGTTCTGGAATTCCTATTCTTTGCAGTGTTATCCATAATTTGTTATGATCCACACAGTCATATATTTTTGCATAGCCAATAAAACACAAGTAAACATCTTTCTGATATTCTCTGCTTTCAGCCAAGATCCATCTGACATCAGTGATAATATCCCTTATTCCATGTTCTCTTCTGAATCCAGCTTGAATTACTGGCAGTTGCCTGTCGATGTACTGCTGCAACTGCTTTTGAATGATCTCCAGCAGAATTTTACTTTTGTGTGATATTAATAATATTGTTCGATAATTCCTGCATTTGGTTGGATCGCCTTTCTTTGGAATAGGCATAAATATGGATCTCTGCCAGTCAGTTGGCCAGGTAGTTGTCTTCCAAATTTCTTGACATAGGCAAATGAGCATTTCCAGTGCTGCATCCATTTGTTGAAACATCTCAATTGGTATTCCGTCTATTCCTGGTGGCTTGTTTTTTGCCAGTGTCTTCGGTGCAGCTTGGACCTCTTCCTTCAGTACCATCGGTTCTCAATCACACGCAACTTCCTGAAATGGTTGAACGTTGACTAATTCTTCTTAGTACAGTTACGCTGTGTATTCCTTACATCTTCTTTTGATGTTCCCTGCTTTGTTCAATATTTTGCCTATAGAGTTCTTCAATTTTGGAACTTGAGGCTTAAATTTTTTCTTCAGTTTTTTCAGCTTGAGAAATGCTGAGCATCTACTTCCCTTTTGGTTTTCTAACTCCAGGTCTTTGCACATTTTTTTCTAATACTTAACTTTGTTTTCTCAAGACACCCCTTGAAATCTGCTCAGCTCTTCTACTTCATCATTTCTTCCTCTCGCTTTAGCTACTCTGCATTCAAGAGCAACTTTCAGAGTCTCTTCTGACATCCATTTTGGTCTTTTCTTTCTTTCCTGTCTTTTTAATAACCTTATTTTCTTCATGTGTGATGTCCTTGATGTCATTCCACAACTCATCAGGTCATTGGTCGTTAGTGCTCAATGTGTCAAATCTATTCTTGAGATGATCTCTAAATTCAGGTGGGATATACTCACGATCATATTTTGGGTCTTGTGGACTTGTTCTAATTTTCTTCAGCTTCAACTTGAACTTGCATATGAGCAGTTAATGATCTGTTCTGAAGTCTGCCCCTGGCCTTGTTCTGACTGATGATATTGAGCTTTTCCATCATCTCTTTCCACAGAAGTAGTTGATTTAATTTCTGTGTATTCTCTGCTGAGGTCCATGTGTATAGTCACCATTTATGTTGTTGAAAAAAGGTTATTGCAATGAAGAAGTTGATCTTGCAAAATTCTATCATGTGATCTCCAGCGTCATTTCTATCACCAAGGCCATATTTTTCAACTACTGATCCTTCTTCGTTTCCAACTTTCACATTCCCATCACCAGTAATTATCAATGCATCTTGATTGCATGTTTGATCAGTTTCAGACCACAGCAGTTGGTAAAAATCGTCAATTTCTTCATCTTTGGCCTTAGTGGTTCGTGTGTAAATTTGAATAATAGTTGTAGTAACTGGTCTTCCTTGTAGGTGTATGGTTATTATCCTATCACTGGCTGCACTGTACCTCAGGATAGATCTTGAAATGCTCTTTTTGACAATGAATGCAACAGAATTCCTCTTCAATTTGTCATTCCTGGCATATGGCTATCTGATTCAAAATGGCCAATAAAGCAGTCCATTTCAGCTCACTAATGCCTAGGATATCAATCTTTATGTGCTTCATTTCATTTTTGATGGCTTCCAATTTTCCTAGATTCATAGTTTGTACTTTCCACTTTCCAATTATTAATGGATGTTTGCAGCCATTTCTTCTCATTTTGAGTCTTGTCACACAAGCAATTGAAGGTGCTGAAACCTTGACTCCATCCATATCATTAAGGTCAACTCTACTTTGAGGAGACAGCTCTCCCCAGTTGTGTTCCAAGTGCCTTCCAACCTGAAGGGCTCATCTTCATCTTCTGGCACTATATGAGACAATGTTCTGCTGCTATTCATAAGGTTTTCACTTGCTAATTTTTTCAAAAGGAGACCAGCAGGTCATTCTTCCTAGTCTGTCTCAGTCTGGAAGCTCTGCTGAAACCTTTCCACCATGGGTGACCCTGCTGCTATTTGAAATACTCGTGGCATAGTTTCCTTCATCACAACAACATGCAAGCCACCGCAGTAGGATAAACTGACAGACGTGTGGCAGCTTTGGGACTAAGATCTTTTAAAATGGTCTATAAGCTATTGTATTTATATTTTGAACTTTTGAATTAAACTTTTAAAATTAAA